TAAACGGCATCATTGATCGATTGGAAAACTATGACATTATTAATAGCTATATTGTAACGGTGTGTAGTTTTGCGTGTTTTCCGGTACTAACGGTAATAACCTTGTCCATCGTAGGTTGGGATGATTACACCATTACACCTAATGAACACACACGTACATGCACATGTACATCACCAATTATGCAATTAATATAAACAGCATTTTGTGGATACGATGATCGCAATGAATATAAAAGTGGTGCTAACGTTGCGGCCGTGGACAGAAAAAAAGTGTTGAATGTTGTGTAACAAAGTAGATTCGTTGCTCGGTCCCAAAAACGAAAGCTCGTTCAATGCGGAAAAGCTGACAAATGTCGCCCAATCACGCTTTAGGATCCTTCATCGATGAGCGTTACCATTGGTTGACCGCTCCTCATGCGATTGACTTTCGTAAGTTGACAATGCGTATCTTTTGTAAGAGCTCATCCTTTTTGCTTCCTTGCGCGCTACTACTAACACGCTCAGTTGCTTTACGTGTTCTGAAAATGAAATTAAATTTGGAGGGGTGAGCGAGTTCCCAGGCCACGAGTACAACAACAACAACAACATCATTCAATTGAATGTGATCCACAGAGGAACATCATCTGGATGTTTTCAACTCCCACCACGGAGCACCTAAGGTTCGCTCTCGGTTTTCATAGCGAACAACCGCGTGAGTTCAAATAAAAGACGGGAGATGAGCAAACGTGCCGTTCATTCGAAAGCAGACCGCATCTGCCATATGACTCGGGGTGGGCCACCATCCGAACTCTTGATCCGCTTTCCGGTTAAATAACCCCACATACAGTACGTAAAATAATGAATACCCACCCGGTATTTTTGCCTTGTGAACGTGGTTCTTGCGTTTAAGGAAAAAAAAACCCAAATGTCAACAACAAATCTTTAAGCGTTTGGTTTACTAACAGAAGGCAGCCATATCACTCGTGACGTCAGCCATCACGTGACTGCAGGTTGTTCCAGTAGCGGCGTGGAGATCTGCCTCGCCTCCTTTTTGTTTTTGTCTTCATTCATAAACCTTGCTTTTAAGATTTATTCTTACAAACTTTGTATATTACGATGCTATGTGCTCTGCATTACTACTACCACTAATACTAATAGCACTAAAGCGCTTCACGTTAATTTCAAATTCACCTACTGATGACGCAAATCAGGAGCAAGTGGCGGTTCAGTATTTTGTTCAAGGACTCTTCGACATGCTCACAAGGGCCAGGAGATGAAACCCACAACTTCTAGTTTAGGAGCGATCGCTCTAGCACTAAGCCATGAAGCCAATAATAATAATAATAATAATAATAATAATAATAATAATAAACAACTGATTTTATAACACTGACATAACAAGTACAGGTAACAGTAAACAAAAACAATACAAGGAACAAATCAATAAAAACAGTCGACAGATAAAATCAGCCAAAGATTTTAAAAAAAAAAGATTTTGAGTTTTCTAAATGCATCCACTGTCTGTGGACCCCTGAGGTGGTCAGAGAGGGTGTTCCACAGATGGAGAGCAGGCAGCCTTGAAGCCCTGTCAGCCATGGTCAATACGGGTTTTGTGTATAAGTTTTTCCAATGTTGGTAGGTTTGGGCTATGCATGTGGTCCTTTCATTGAAGGGACTAGACTACTTCCATGCAATGACTTCATCTATAGTCTCTGCAGCCATCCATCCATCCATCCATTTTCTGATCAGCTTTATCCTCACAGGGGTCGCGGGGTATGCTGGAGCTTATCCCAGCCGTCTTGGGCAGTAGATGGGGGACACCCTGAACCGGTTGCCAGCCAATCGCAGGGCACACAGAGATGAAAAACTATTCGCACTCACATACACACCTAGGGACCACCAGGCCGCCCTCTCTGCAGCCAGTGTTGAGCAATTAGCGTTGTTCCAAAAGGCTTTGCATTCTGCAGCAGCCCCTGTGTATATAGCTTTTACTCTTGGTCTTGATAGTAACCACACATCAGTACAAGAAACCAGGTTAAATGTGTGTGATACATGTCTCTGATGAGGTGACAAAGTAATCAACATCATCCTCACCACCACGGTTTTTCAAAATACTACTCATGTGCATGAAAGGCACCTCATCCTTATCTTCCCACAGGCGGGAAATCTTTGAAGGCTATGATGACATTGGAATGATGGTCTGCTGTCTTTGAAGTGGTTTCAGGGCATGTACCATAAGGTGACATGCTCTTGTCAAGCTCAATAGTTATTAGTAAAAATTTGCATGACGCTGGAAACATCTTTATGACAGGGATGCTTTCCTTCATTCCATGATAGGTGGAACTATTCAATCTGCAGTCATGCCAAGATAGTTCATGTGTGCAGTTTTTTTATGATAGCAGTAGCAAAGACCTGCGCTTTCTTCAAAACTCTTTTGAACTTGGCAATCATTTTGACGTACGCTGCTATTTAGAAAATATGTTTCTCTATTATGCAACCACTCCTCCTCTTGCCGGTATTTGAAGAATTGGGCTCTGGAGGAGTCTCTTTTGCGTCAAGAAGTGACACGTGGGACCATGCTTTGAATGTTATGGCTACCGTACCTTTCAAAGCATTCCATTCACTCTGTTTCACAAGTTTTTGATAGGATGAAAAATACAATAGACTGTTTGGAATAAATTGTTACAATTCATTTGAACATATAGAATGCACATTTCATATTTTTAATCAGTATTGTATCTTTTTCACGAGAGCTTTATTTTTGAGGAGCTCAAGAAAATGCAATTATGCAGCAGTTGCTTAAAGTGTACTTCTGAGGGCCCATTGCCATGTATTGGTGGTAAAAATGGAGCAATATTGTAAATTTTGATGCATATCTGGTGTTCCTCTGAGATTTTAAAAAAAAAAGATTTTGAGTTTTCTAAATGCATCCACTGTCTGTGGACCCCTGAGGTGGTCAGAGAGGGTGTTCCACAGATGGAGAGCAGGCAGCCTTGAAGCCCTGTCAGCCATGGTCAATACGGGTTTTGTGTATAAGTTTTTCCAATGTTGGTAGGTTTGGGCTATGCATGTGGTCCTTTCATTGAAGGGACTAGACTACTTCCATGCAATGACTTCATCTATAGTCTCTGCAGCCATCCATCCATCCATCCATTTTCTGATCAGCTTTATCCTCACAGGGGTCGCGGGGTATGCTGGAGCTTATCCCAGCCGTCTTGGGCAGTAGATGGGGGACACCCTGAACCGGTTGCCAGCCAATCGCAGGGCACACAGAGATGAAAAACTATTCGCACTCACATACACACCTAGGGACCACCAGGCCGCCCTCTCTGCAGCCAGTGTTGAGCAATTAGCGTTGTTCCAAAAGGCTTTGCATTCTGCAGCAGCCCCTGTGTATATAGCTTTTACTCTTGGTCTTGATAGTAACCACACATCAGTACAAGAAACCAGGTTAAATGTGTGTGATACATGTCTCTGATGAGGTGACAAAGTAATCAACATCATCCTCACCACCACGGTTTTTCAAAATACTACTCATGTGCATGAAAGGCACCTCATCCTTATCTTCCCACAGGCGGGAAATCTTTGAAGGCTATGATGACATTGGAATGATGGTCTGCTGTCTTTGAAGTGGTTTCAGGGCATGTACCATAAGGTGACATGCTCTTGTCAAGCTCAATAGTTATTAGTAAAAATTTGCATGACGCTGGAAACATCTTTATGACAGGGATGCTTTCCTTCATTCCATGATAGGTGGAACTATTCAATCTGCAGTCATGCCAAGATAGTTCATGTGTGCAGTTTTTTTATGATAGCAGTAGCAAAGACCTGCGCTTTCTTCAAAACTCTTTTGAACTTGGCAATCATTTTGACGTACGCTGCTATTTAGAAAATATGTTTCTCTATTATGCAACCACTCCTCCTCTTGCCGGTATTTGAAGAATTGGGCTCTGGAGGAGTCTCTTTTGCGTCAAGAAGTGACACGTGGGACCATGCTTTGAATGTTATGGCTACCGTACCTTTCAAAGCATTCCATTCACTCTGTTTCACAAGTTTTTGATAGGATGAAAAATACAATAGACTGTTTGGAATAAATTGTTACAATTCATTTGAACATATAGAATGCACATTTCATATTTTTAATCAGTATTGTATCTTTTTCACGAGAGCTTTATTTTTGAGGAGCTCAAGAAAATGCAATTATGCAGCAGTTGCTTAAAGTGTACTTCTGAGGGCCCATTGCCATGTATTGGTGGTAAAAATGGAGCAATATTGTAAATTTTGATGCATATCTGGTGTTCCTCTGATTATGTCTTGTCTTGTATTTGCCAGTGTGTCAATCTAATTCAAGGCGCCATGGTCGAAACGGATTTGTCATTACGTTGTTCACTAGGCCTTCCCTTGCACCCATCAGTTGCTATTGAGTGATACATCAGAGCATTGTTATATAAAGTGCTTAGGTGCTGAACTGGTACCGCAAATCCATGATTGCTGTTCATTAATCATTTAATCACCGAATCCATTTGAATGGATTACAAATTTTTTGCCAAAAATAAATAAAATCAAAAAGCTATGTTTTTCATTTTAGTGTTTGACCGACATGTTTAAAAATGAAGTAAACCTTGTTTATTCATAAGTGCATGCTTTGCATTTGGCATCATTTCCTATAATGCCATAAAGAATTGACTTCTGCATGCACATACCCATAAAAGACGATTCAATAGATTTCAAAATGGAATGATTCGATTTGGCTCGATGCACTCGCATCTTTTAAATCAATGATTTTCTGGTTCAAACCATTTTTGTCACACTGCTAGTATTCAAGCTACATTAAATGTAGAATGGCTTGTAGAAGCAGTTTAGCCAAGGATGCCTATTTTATTGCAACAAATGTGTATATTTTTGGCCGCAGATCAGCATTTTAAATGCACTTTGTTGATGGATTTGCCTTAGTGTCGCAGCATCCTGTTAAGGCACTGAGAAGCACCATGTATGTTCGGGTAAAAATCAGTGACACATTGGATACAAATATTGGATTTTATTCAGTACACTGTACATAGATTTATAAAAAAAAAAATGTTTCGTGCATACATTAAGACAGAAGTCTAGGAATGTTAAAATGAACATCAGCAAATACTGTAACAGTGAAAATGGTGTGTCGAATGAGTATCCTTATCATTTTTTAGAAGTCAGATGAGGATATTATGTTGTGCCGACTTTCATTCCAATGAACACGTTCAGTTCAACAAAATATGGATGAAGCAGAGGTTGCTTGGTGTGGCAGTGGCAGACATGATACTTAATCTGTAGCGAGTAGTTGGTGCTCTGCAACAAACATCAAGCCAATGAGAATGCTTCCGGGTGCCAGCAGTCTACCCGAACTTCCTGTAAACATCAGATCAGGTTTTTCACAAAAATTGTTCAATTTTTTTCAGATAGCAAATAAATTATTTTTTAATCAATTAATTTATTATTTCTACTGTTTGTCCTCATCGGGTGAGCTGGAGCTCTTTCCAAACAGACTTTTGGCAAGGGATGGGACCCTGGACCAGTCGCAAGAGGTACTGTTGTGTACAGTGGTCAACAATTTTTAACTTAATGTTTTAATCAGAGATGCAGATAAACGTTTTCTGGATTGTTTTTTGCACCGATTCAGAAAATCGTACAATTACTTTTACACAACAAATTGATGGATTACTAGTTTGTTCAATTATTGTTCAAGTGAGTGTGAAGAGGGTAACATATTTCTTGCAAAATCTCATTGGTATTGCGTGACAATTTGACATTTCGGTACAGATTTTAGCAAGGATCATTGAAGGTGACACACATGATTTGCTTTTGCGGGCCACATAAAACGACGTGGCGGGTGTGAAATAGCCCCCGGGCCTTGAGTTTGACACCTGTGATTTAGAGTGTTCCCTTAACCAGCCATGCATGTTTTTGGAATGTGGGAGGAATCCGGAGCACCTGGAGAAAACCCACGCAGGCACGAGGAGAACATGCAAACTCAGCACAAGAAGGCTGGACCTGGAATTGAACCCTGCATCTCTGCACTGCGAGGCCCACGAGCTAACCAGTCATAAATTATAATAAATTATCTATGACATTAGGGTTAGCAAGAGGTGGAATTTTCTAAAATGTAACTGCTATAAATTAGACCGCATGGTAAAATCAGCATTATGCGAGCTCGCGTTTTCATCAAAATTAAATATAAATTTCTCAAAAACATGATGTGCTAGAAAAAAAAAAATGGACATTTTTTTAAATCAGTATAAAAATGCATTTAGGGACACAAAGCCATCTCCGTTTTCAATATGCTGTTTACCAGTGTTATTATTCTGATGACAAACATGGCTTGCTTGAAATAAAATACTTCTAAGAGACATCACAGTGATTCAAGTCATCTCAGCCACAATGAAAAAGTTTTTCTTTTTTTTTAAGACCCTGCGGTCAAGAGGTGTTTACATGTAAACACCCAGACTATTCAGGATTGCGTATATTCACTTTTGAACATCAGAGTTTCACTTTGACTTTATTATGTAAAGCACACTTACTGGGGTTGCATTCATCTGACTCTCGGTAGCGGCCCATCAGTTCACTCGTTTTGACGGCGCTCAGAAGATCCGCACTGACTTCCCCTTCGAAGAAAAGACAATATTCACTGATCCATCCTGTACACTGTCCTTACTGATGAATTACAACACATCGGGTACAAGGAAATTATGGTCAATAGTCCAAATGTCCAGGATTAGTGTATACGTAGATTTTTGTGAGGATTAGAATGCAAATTGTTGTAATGGGAGGACGCTCACAAGATACTGTATATTTGAAAACGTCTAACAAAGAGCCAACTTATTTTGTAACGTCCCATAGCATACCTGATACCATGAAGCTGACTTGCTGGCATCTTCCTTCAACTACAGATGTGGGAGAGGAGCCCAAGATGGTCACTCTTGCTATTTCCATCTGCAGGACATTAGCAACACCACTGCGGAACTCGTGTCTGGGGGATTAAAAGAGGTTTTGTTTTTTTTTTTTGTAATACATTTTTAAGTGGGTAGAAATTGGACAATCCCAACCGACTCATGCTATACGACTTGAAAAAGTAAAATTTGAACGGTAGCAAATACAGGATGTGGAGATCTAATACATAAGGACAGTTCTCCCTTGAAGGATATTTTTATACTTACCTACTGAAGTTTCTAACTCTGGGGAAGGTTTGGTCTGCAGAGGGAGACTCTGGGAAAATATCAGCGCATGCAATGATGTCCTCACCATTCTTCAGCACCAAAGATCTGTTGACCACTGAAAATAAATGATTTTTTTGTTGTTTTTTAGGGCGGAGCACTTTTACTGACTTATATAAAATACATTTCCAACTCACATCTTGTATAAACAGACTTGTCAAAACGATACAAACAGAAACATGGAATGGAATCCCTCTCGTTTCACTTGTCTGACACCCATGATAGTTTTTTTCTTATCTCATTCTAAGTACACTCTGGGTTCACATGAGAGTTAATTATTGGCAGGTGGTGAAAAGCCATGACGTCATCGCACCAGGGTGCGGGACTACAGGCCCGATGACTAGCCTCATTATATTGGTTCTGTTCCGACAATACCGTCACGTGGTCATGGCGAGCGTCATAAAGGTGTGCGTTATCACCTGTGTGATCCCCAGAAAGCTGAATGATACTGTCAGTGTAGAGCCGTTCCTCCCTCAGGCTGACTGCGCCGTGTCTTGCCGAGAACTCCCCAACCACACAACTCAGGGGGTAGTCAAGAGAGCAGCTCGAACTCTAAAAAGGAGGATACATATAAATCCGTGTGTTTCGTTGTTATTGAGTGATGATTAGTCGTCACAATTGAAACTTTTGAGCCCTACCTTTGAGGTCATGTTAAAAGGATTATAGGGTCCCTGGTAATTACACTGGCCGTTATCATTGGTGCCGATAAGGTTATTAGATATGAACAGTGATGCCTCGGTGAGCTGCAAGGAGACATTAAAACAAACAAAAAAAAAAAAGCAAGCGTTAGTGCATTATATCTCTTTTTTTTCTGGCATCACACCCGTACACAGTGATGAGCGCATATTTATTTTACTAAGGATTTAGTCATGCAAACGACAAAAGTAGGCCACTGCATTCTCAACAATTGTTTTATTTCTGCCATGTTGTCTTGTTAAATCAAGCATTTGACATTCAACATTTTTTTTCTGATTCCCACATATCACACCCCACACGAGTATGACTGCATATTTCTTTCACTGGGGATTTAGTAATGCAAACAACTTTGGTCCTTAATCTGAAAGGCTAGTTTCCTTCATTTACAGTAAGTGCATGCAGGTATGTAGGCCACTGCTTTCTCCGTAACTCATTTCCACCATGTCTTATCTTTATCATTATTGGCCCAGTATGTAGAACACACAAGAATTTGTTTCCGGTAGTACTGGCTATGCTAGTCTTGCAATAACAAGCAACTACGATAAACAAAAACATGACATTTAAGTATCGAAAGACCATCTGTAATGTAAGGGTACCATTGTGCAGTCGTAGCACCCAATGACAGCTGTGCGACAATGTGCGGAGTCATCGAGCAGAGATAAAGTGAATCAGTGGAGCAAAACTATGACGGTTGTGCAGTTGGTGCAGATAATCGTTGTACCATTTTTAAAGTGACCAATAGCAGTAATTGCAGTACAACTTTAGGTGTGCAATTATACAGAAAGTCCTTGAGCGCTTTCAAGTGTCTGGTGCTGTGGAATATTGATCAATGACAATTTCCCGATTACATTGTACGTTATCTTGCTCTTTTTCACGTCTTTGAACAGTCATGTTTCAAACGGATTATAGTTGTATTTCCCCTTTGTGAATGACAAATCGTACAAAAAGATACCAACCATGCGGATTACTGGACTACCACTCTCCTGCTACACACTACATCATGCCTTGGCCCCTTCTAATGATCATCGACAAATCCATTCCTTCCCACATGCTGCAGTCATCTTACGATTGCCTACTCTCTCTCTATCCAAAAATAAAAATTGCAGATGTTTGGTGAACGCCACAGCCCACTTTCTCTCAAACTGCTCAAATGCCATCTGTACACCAAGATATACAACCTAAAATAACAATCATAAAATGCCAATAATCATACATACAGACACAGGAAATATCTGAAGTTTAACCTATTATCTGAAACAAAAAGAAAATGAATTGTTTTTAGGCTAATTTATGGCCCACTTTGTTGATTGAAAAAAGTTGTCTTGAATTTCCTCAATTTTATTTCATCAAGCGGTTGTGCAAATTAAAATCAACTGGATCCAGGTATTTATTTTTTGTAAATATACTCTACCTATACTTAAAATATCTAGAGCTAGATTTATTTTGTGTCGCCACTTGATGAAATAAATTCAACACACTAATTTCTTTTTCAGTGTTGATCTCCTTTCATCAACAATCATTTCAGGCCATCAATTTTTAAAACAGCAGTTAATTCATCTGATTTCCAATCAAGGAAAGAAATGCACCTTTGACTTGGTCATGTAAAAAAAAAAAACATTCTTGATGTGGTGACTTAGAACTTGTTATTCACACCTTCTGTTATGTGGGTCACTGATAGCTCAGTCATACTACACAAAAGATGAACATTGCATGTCTAAACAATTGAATTCTGATGATTACTTTGCCTTTGGGAATGGAGTCTGATACTGTAGTGAAAATAAAACAAGCAACACATCTGCACAGGTACGCAATGCTTACATTTACAGCTTGTAGATTTACCACCAGCGTGGTGTCACCGCTACTTCCATCAGGAAACATTTGCTGGACCTAGAAGAGATCAACCAGAGATTGATAATTGCAGAGAATGCATACAACACATTTCCCTGCTCTGCACGCTTTAGAAAGCCAAGGCAAAATAATCTTGATTAAAAGAGCTGGTTTATGGTAAATCATTCTCCAAGCCATTACCTCACACTGAGAAGAGAGGGAAAAAAAAGCAGCTGTGTTGAAATTACTCAAATTATTTCAAGTGGTAGCACAAAATCAAATCTGCATCGAGATACATTTTTTAGGAGATGTATAGTCTACTTAAAAAGTGTATCTGATCCACGTTTCATTTTGTGCAGCCACTTGACAAAATACTGAGTGGGTTCAACACACCATTTTTTTTTCAGTGCATGCAATACTACTTTGTTGTTCGCTCTTTTCCATAGATGCTGTCGGGCTCAGCAAGGTGCCTCTGCAGGACGGCTGACAGACACAGCTGTTCTCCTTTTGAGCTTCATAATTCACAGTCACAGGGCATTTAGGTTCTTCCCGCTTGTAGATGGATGCTAAGTTCAACTATTGATTTTGATTTTTTTTTTAAACCTCCATCATGCAAGCTATTTTACCACAGAAATAAGGAATTCACGGTCATGTTTTTGTGGCAGCTTGGCTCAAGTTAAGTTGTGGCTGTCAAAGAGAACTGAATTTTACACATTTTTGCACTGTGAAGATTTTTTTTTACATAATTGGTGAGGTGCAACCTGTCGGAGTAGATGTTGAAAAATTGCAATACTTACCATTCTGACGGTCCCATTTAAAGAGCCATTAAACACAGCCTTGGCAATGGTCCACTGTCCATCTACATTTTTTTCAGCAGATATGTCAGCACATTGCATCCTGTGAAAAAGGCACATGGTCGTGCATATCAATGAATGAGAAAGGCCAGGGTGTTTTCACACAGATTTTGAGCGACTCAATGAATGGAAAATATGCATTGTATTAAAACAAGGAGGGGGTCTGTTACAAAGTACAATACATGCCTTTATACACATATCAAAAGGCAAGTCAGATCTATTTCTCTAAGAGCAGGTTTGACTGTGTGGTGAACTCGCATGCCGACTCATTACAAGTTGAACAAGAGCTGGGGTTACAATGTAAAAAAAAAAAAAAAAAAAAAATGTAGTGAAAGTACTCAATTTTTTTTCGTCGTTAGCCCAAAATAAAAGCGTCGGGATCCAAATACAATTATTTTGAGTGGTAGTCCACTTATTAAATGTATCTGGATCCAAAGAATCTTATATTGTGAAATTGAGAATATTCAACACACCATTTTTTCGGTGTAGATGCATGCATAAAAATCCAAAACCTTCTCCAATATCATCTCAGATTAGTTCCAATGTTTCTTATTCTATTCGTTTTGGGAGCACAGTTTTGTCCTTTTCCACTCTTTTTTCATTCTGATTATGGATACGCACCTATCAACATGTGTTCTCACCTTGAGCCATTGCTGTAGTGAATCACAACAGATCTTCCCACGATGCTGTGCGGCCCAGTTAACGGCAGGTTGCTGTCACGATACAACTCCTGCGCTTGATTCAGACCAGTCAGCAGCCCAAATTTTCCACTGATATCACCTATCTCATACTGGTCAACAGTACCATTTCCAGGTGGAGGGGACAGTGTTATGTTGACAGACAGTGGGTTGTAGTGTCCCCTAATGTTTGCAGCCGAGCACGGTTCTGAGCTGTTCGGTTTGATGGGTAAAATGTGAACATGGTAGCCACCAGCCATGGCATTCAGGTTGGACAAGGACACAGATATATTGGTGGGGCCATTTGGGACAGACTGGTAGAACTGAATTTGTCCAGTTGACACGCCGGGGCCAAACCAAGATCCGAGGGTGGCTTTGGGTACACGCACCATAGTGATATTTGCACATGCAATCCTTGGCCCCGCTCTTTCTGCCTGATGTATGACCACGGCACGATTAATCAAGCCTGACCCTTGCAACCAGGAAGTGACATCAGTGAAGAATTTTTTTGCTTTGACTCCACCAACTGTAGAACTGAGGTTGAGGAGATTGTGTTTACTGGCAAGGTCTCCGACTTCACAGGCTACTGGACTGGATGGGCCACAGTGGAGATCATAACTGTTATCTTGTGTGTCAATGCCGAAAGGGTTCCAATGACCTCCTGTTGTGCTGCAGCGTGTCTCATCGTCGTCCCTCTCGGAGCTGATGGGGTACATGTGGATATGCCAGTTGTGGTTCGTGGTTGAGGCCGCTGTGGGGTTTCCATATGACAAATCCACAAAGATGGATACATCAGATAGGGGGTTGTCCTTCAGTTGGGTGAACCACATATCACCAACCAATGGGCTCCTAAACCTAGCTCTGGCGACGATGACCTCACCAGGATAGCCGATGCTGGCGCAGACGTACCTGGCACCATCTGTTAGGTGAATCACAACAGACCGACCAACAATGCTGTTCTGTCCAAAGAGAGGAAGGTTGTAGTCTTCAAACGTCATTTCCACTTCATTTTTAGTCGCGAGGGACATATGCTTTGAACTGAGGTCCCCAACCTCGTACAGGTCATGAGTTGATCCAGGCCCAGTGGGGTATGTCGGGGCGCTTGTGTTGACGCCAAATGGATTCCAATGGCCACCCACATTGTCGTTGGAGCACAGGTTGGAAGAAGACGACCTGCCTGAAGGAACAGGAAAACCGTGGACATGAAAAGGCCCGACCCTGTTCTGCAAGTTACTCAGGTTGACCTTCAACTCTGTCTGATCGAAAGGGGAAGACTGATGGAAGCTGATCGATCCATGAATCCCTTTCATATCAAATCGAGCACTCACTTGTTTCTCTGGCACAGTATAGATTTGAGCACAAATGAAAGTTGAACCTGGGCGGAGGATGAGAAAGGCCGTGTTGTCATCGTAGTTATTTAAGTCCAGGCGAGATTTTCCAGGTTGCAAAGGCGTTCCAATGTTGACGACACTCAGATTTGTCAAAGCTGAGGCATCTAAACTACTAAGAAGAACATTGCAGCTTGTAGCTGAGCTTAATGAGCCAAAGAGTGTCACGTTGGTCGCGGATGCGTTGACTTGACCGATTGTAACAAGATCTAGTAGCAGCCTTGAGTTGTTCAGTCCAACGTTGCGGCGAATATAAACATTACCCGCGATCTCACCGGTGAACCTCGCCTGACTTGTCAAAACTGTTTGACGGCTACTTACAACCGTGCATACAGGACTGTTGTTACAGGTCTGTAGAGTCAGCGAGAGATCATCCAGGTTTGAGCGCTGTTCAAAGAGACTCGACACATTGATGCTGGCGCTAGACGTGGGATCAGCAGTGAATGTGAAAACACTGGAGCCAATGTTTGCCACCGAGCACGGCTCAGCAAAATGGCCATACATGACCGGGAACTCGGTGAGGGAAAGGTTCAAGGTACTGCACGATCCGACACCAGTAACGTTGACAGTGGCCGTCTGGGATGTAGAGTTAAATTGAACTTGACCCAAGACTCCCCCCATGTTGATCGGTGCCAGGAACTGAACACAGGAAGCGAAACCTAAGAAAACACACCACAGAAAAAGGACTTGATAGTGGAATACAGTAAAATTACAATTTTCTGATTTTTTTTAAATCAGTGCAGCATACACATCAGTGTTCTTAACTCCAAAGGTGAAGTCAACCTCAAAATTTTCCAAGCTCCATGCTGGCCCGCCACTTTAAAAAAGGCATTCTGAATAATATCGCATTTGCGGAATACGAGTTCAGCAGCAAAATCCACCCGTTTGTGTCAATCCCAGAGGTGGCCATTTTGACATCTGTCAACTGAAAATGACCTCACGGTTGCTCAGGCAACGGCCAATTATGGCTCACCTGATTTCAGAGGCTGAACCATGATTGGTTGTTACCTGAGCCCGAAGCAACAGTGAGGTCATTTTCAAATCGCCAACCAGGGGCAAAATGACCACTCCTTGAGATGGACAAAAACGGATGGATATTGATGCTAAATTCATATTCAGAAACACAACATTAATCAGAATACCATGTTGAGACGAATGGGGGTGCATGAAACTTCATTCTCCCAGTCGGAGGCGTATAAAATATCAGATTGGCTCAAATCTTGAAAATGGGTTATGAGAAAGGATACCAAGAATTCTGTAACCACATGAGATCATGTAATCCAATCCTAGTTTTAATCTGGGTCAAACCTTCTGTTTTTTATGTTAGAAACATTTCAGTAGGATGTGGATAAATTTGATCCCCGAAAAACAGGATTATCCAGATCACGCCAGTGGGCAGGATTTCAAGAACATGTTTGCAAAACTTTTCAATTGGACAAATAATCTACTTTTATCATTTTCTGTCTATACGTTTTAAAAAAATATTTTGCACTTGTTTTGTTCAGCTGTTACGGTAATGAAGTAGATAAATTAGACAAAGGCAACCATTGCCATAAGCCTTTAAAGCAGGGGTGTCAAACTCAGGTCCTGGAGGGCCGCTGTCGTACATGTTTTCCAAGTCTCCTTGTTGCAACACTCCTGATTCAAATGATCAGCAAGCTCTGCGGAAGCCGGACATTTAACCTGTTCATTTGAATCAGGTGTGTTGCAACAAGGAGACTTCGAAAACACGCAGGAAGGCAGCATTCCAGGACCCGAGTTTGACACCCCTGTAACAATTAAATAAAAATGGGAAAAAAATGTTTTCCAATAAAATAAACCCCCAAACAGATTTAAACAAAAATGATTAATTCAACTTTTTTTTTGTCATTCATCACTGTATATTACATGACTCTTTTTTCCTCAACATTATCATATTTTTTTTAATTTCAGACTTCAAACTATCCACAATGTGTTTTCTTGTATATTTGTTAGTTGTGTGTGGCTCAGATGAGCCACACACAATGAAAAAAAATCATAGTCGTGGATGTATGTTATTTTTGTGGTTCACAAATTAAGAAATTAATTTAAAAAGAAAAGATTTCCAAATCTGGATCATTTTGTTGCAGATTACATATTTTGAACAATTGGCCCCCTGGAGAATAGTTTTGCTTGTGTTTTGTTGTTACCATTTTTGTACTGCATCTGCCTCACTATATATTTGTCAAAATAATTGCTCTGAAAACAATCATTAAAAAAAAAAAACTTCTGGCCATTTTGACTTTTGTATCTGATTTTTAAATTCTGCCTCTCATAATCTTAATTAACTGAACTAAACATATGAAGAGCAAGTGGGAAAAATAGGTATGGTCTCATCATAATTATGTAAGCGAAATGAATTTGAAGTAAAAGAATGAGCTTTAAACGGTGCACTGGACCCAAAACAGTAATATGCCAAGCAGCAATATGTCAAACTGCATAATTTAACATGAAAATTACACCACAAATTAACTGTAGCATCTTTGAAGAATATTGTACTCCAATACAATTAGTATATCAAATTTTGATTTGAAGATTTTGATGTAATCTCCCTAAATGTGTGCGGTTAAAAAAAAAAAGGCACACAAGCTTCATATTAATGGATACAAATATGTCAATTTATGTTAACAGATTGCAGTCATTGATATGCACATTGTGGAAAGAATATTAAACTAGCTACAAAATCCGAATGAGAGTCTTAAGGTTTTAGTTCAAAGAGAGATTTGGCTGACAGGTGCCATTCTCCTTGCACAATAAAGTCATCAGTCTATTATTCAAATTCGTCAACCAATTGAAGGTTGCTGGATAAAAGACCAAAGACAAAAATAGTACCACTTCTAATTCTGGAAAAGTTACTTTCAAATTTAAACTGCTGAACATGAACATCAATGAGAAACATACTCACCCGTGAAGCATGTTAACAGGACAATCAAAAGGCACATGGCGGCAGATAGATTGCAGACAAATGCAAAATAAGTCGAGTTTCTTGGTATGAAGTGTGTGTGCACAAGTGCATTCTCTAAGAATGTGTCCTGTGGGACTGGTTTGCAGAAGTGTGCAAGCTCTCTTATACTTCAATAATTGTGCCATCTGTCTGTGTCAGCCTGCGATTGGTTATCAGGACTGTTCCTGCTGTGTTCATTAGGATAGGGGAGGGTTTAAGCCAGGACAGTCAGACGTGGCCTCTTCAACTAGACAAATGAAACCATGGAAAGACATTCAACATTTGAATATGCGCAAGACTTCATGTGAAACATAAAAACAAAAGGTGGAAATAAAAATACTGTAATAATCGATTACTTTTGTTAGTGCTCAGCCTTTGGTTGTGTTGCTGTTATGTGTCAAGAAAATTGAGTTTAAAAAAAAAATCAGAAATGCTATAATTTAGTAAGCAGGTCTGGTTTACATTTCAAATTCACAGCCATGGCCTAATGAATACAGCTACAAAGAAAAGTGTGGCAAAGCAAACAGGAAAATCTTTTCCACGGAATACTGTAGAATATCAAAGGCGTGGAGCTGATGGTTCTTGGAATTTTCTTTTTCCTCTTCAGTTCCACTTCTCAGCGCACACGTCATCTGTCCTTGTGACTGGGCTGAGGAAAGAAAAGGGTGGAAAATAGTAACATGTTCTAAGAATAGACCCCAATGGCCCATCATTTTGGCCTGTTTATGGTAGGCCATACAGTTATTTACTTCCACACCCCAGAGGGCATGTGAAGTGGATTAGGTCCTTCATTTGCCTTGCTGTGGGTCACTGATTGCTGCAGAGGCTCCAATTGTTATATGACTATTTCTGCATCCCTGCAGAAAAGACCGTGCAGGGTTGCTCTCTGCATTGGTTTACATTTAAAAATATGCACTGCAACAACAAATTCTTAGGGTGAAGTATGCAAAGACATAGCGATGGTGTCAACCGAATGTCCCTTTTCGAGTTTCAATCTCAGGCTCAAATTTGTGACCCGTCAAGTCTCCACAGAGTCCTCCTCCCACAACTGTAAAGGTATGTCACCTTAGTTGAAGAACTGGACGCGAAAGTGAATGTTTGGCTGAGCTAGGCACCTATCCAAATCTCTCGAAAGAATTCCGAGACAAGGCTCTACTGTTTTGGCCTCGTAAGGAAAAAGTATCCAAAATGGAGTATTTCTCTCCACGGTTCTCGTAATGTTTGTGGAAAATATTGTGTGCAAATAAAATTCCAATACACTGAATTGCCTTTGAGTATTCAATACAACAACTTTGGTCTGCAAAACTTTTGCCAAGCCAGTATTTGTGGACGTCCTTGTAACACCACACATGCACACCATCTCCTCGATCTTTTTCAGTTTTAAAATAAGACTAATTGCGTACCCATTTTAAATCAGCAGTTATTTAATCTGATTTCCAATCGAAGCAAAGAAACGCACCTTTGAACAGCCATCATTCTTGATGTGGGTGACTAATCACTTGTTATTCACACCATCTGTTATGTGGGTCACTGACAGCTCAGTCATACTTGTCATTTCTACCAAAATGTCTTATCTGCTGGTCACATCACACATCACTGTCTATTTGGTTGAAAATTGAAAAAATTCTGGTAATTTTGCTGGGAGATGATGTATCCAAATGCAATTCCCATACATTGAATTGTCTTTGTGTATCTAATACAACACCTATGGTTTTATAATAACGTTAGGCGTTGGGTCGTAGGTCATCTCTGTAAGAGCAGGAAGTCGGGTGACCCCATCCGTCACGATATTATGAGTTCCAAATAAGCGCTAGCTTCCCCCTCCTTCCCGGTGTCTATTGTAATGCCTACGTGTCATTTGCTTTGTTGTTGCATTGTTTATTCAGCGTCCTCGTTGTCATGAATGCACCTTATGCTGTATGTGTGCTGTCTATCGCTTGTAAAAGCAGCAGCACTTTAATGTGTCCTTTAACTGAGAAAAGGATAAGCAGTTAGGAATGAATGAGTTATGTATCACACGTGATGTATGTGTGATACATAATTGTGATGATTTAATTTATAAACCAGAAAAAGGAGCGGGCATTCACTGGGTGGAGTCCTTAGAATTTAGTGTATCGGGAGGAACAGTTATGTAGCTGGTGTAATTAAGCAAACATGTAATTAAAGCCCTGATGCGTTTTTAAAATTGTGATGTGTCAAAGAAAGGTTTTAGAGAATGGGTTGGACCGTATTCAGTTGAACTAAAAGATAGCACACTCATCCGTGAGTCATCTTGCTATGGAATCTAAGTGCTTTTACTTTCGTTGATGTTTTATTCCAGCCAACACTGTCTGGCACCTCATGTTGTTAAGTGTAATTTCAGGTTTTGTTTCTTCATGTATTCGCTCTTTTAACACGTGCCAATATCAAATAACATTGAAGAATAAAAATAAATATAAATGTTTTATGTTTGAATATCAAATGAATAAATATCACTTTGTGTGTGGGTTGTATCGCGTTTTACTACAAATATCAGCTGTTTTAGGTTCGTGGTTGACTAATTCGATGCTTGTTTTACCTAAAGGTCTACTGACGACTACCGTAAATGAAGATGTGCAGTTTGACCAACAGTATTCAAATTCTTCATGTCCTCTAGATGGCGCTAGCGCGGCATATTTGAATGAGTCAACGTAGTCAAGCAGCAAAACGACAGACAATTACAGCAGGTCTTTTTTGGTTGTACACGTCGCACGTTGTTTAAAATGTGTGACTGTAATATTTTTGGTCATTTTTATTCTTTCCTACACAGCATATTTTGTTACTTTTATTCTATCATACAAGGAGGCAGGTCAACTGTAGATGACCCACAAGGCACGGGGAAACCTGGACCAGAACAAAACGTCTTAACGAACACTCTCAATTCTGCGTTTCATGCCAAACAAGCTTAATGAGAAACGGAATGCAATTCATACCAATTCCTGCATCGCGATCGAACTTTTACTTCAGCCAGAGGCAAGACACGAAACAACAAATATCGCTGTGAAGTTTCTGCTGTTTAAATCTCCACGTACTGACTGGCTTTGACGGTAGGCGCGCCTACTAACAAACAGCCCGGTAAATCGGCGGTACTGTGGGTTGGACGGAATTCTTTCTAATGTACGTCAGATGTGTGGATGACGACGCGTGAATGACGCTGTTTATGTGAATGCAACCGAAAATAAATGGAAAAAAATGCACCTAGATTTGCTCAGCATGGTGTATTTCTACACTAAAAAGGGGTAACATTTGCCTGAAATAGAAACTAGTAAAGTTTTTCACTCCGATAATAAATAAATGGCCAAGTTGAAAAGATTCGGAGCACCGGACTTCCAGCGAAGATTCTAACCCTTCAGTTGAGTATGACTTTCAATTAACTGTGGGTGGAAGGCAGACTACTCTCTGAACTGGTCGCCAACCAGTTGCAAGGACAATCTACCTAGAGGCGAACAACCATCGACACCCTCATTAACACCGTAACTGTATGGGAACAGCCCCCACACTTCCCGCACACAAGTTAAGCGAGTGTATCACGAAACAATCAGTGACCTAAATCAAGTATCTTCAATCGAAACGATCTGCATTCAATCTTGATATAATCTCGGCGTTAGCCATCTGTACTAACAAAACTGTCATCTCTCACATTTCCAATCATCCATTTTCTGATCTGTTTATCCTCACATGGGTCGCGGGCGTGCTGGAGCCTGTCCCAGCGGTCTTCGGGCAGTAGGCGGGGCACATCCTGAACTGGTTGCCAGCCAATCGCAGCACACACATCAACAAACAACCATCCCGTTCACCCTCACACCGAGGAACAATTTAGAACGTTCTATTAACCAACCCTTCATGATTTTGGAATGTGGGAGTAAACCGGAGTACCCAGAGAAAACTCACGCAGGCATGGGGAGAACATGCAAACTCCACGCAGGAAGGCCGCAGCCAGAATCGAACCCGTCACCTGTGCAATGTGAGGTCGACGAGCTAAGCAGTCGACCAATGTGCCGTCCCTCTCACATTTCCATTACATAAAAACAAAACAACTTCCTTTAGCCGGAAAAGTTTGTGTGTCACCTCACCTCACCGCATTTGATATAAACCTGTAAAATCAGAGGTGAAGATCATCCAATGTGACAAAGCTTGCCTGACAGAAATCAATGCATTGCTCCCAAGCTGCTGCTGTTTACTGGTCTTCTTATTGACTGAAAGTTACATAAATTGAATTTTATCCAATTATTGTACTTAATGCCTAGACTAGACATGCATACCTATGGGTTGGCGAGTGGTCTCAGTAGCTTTAAAGTTGTGCATGTGAACTTGTCCAGAGGACAGCTATGACTTCATCATTACCTCACTGTGTGCTGCTTCGCGGCCTTATCAAAACCATGTGGCTCTGGTTGCTGTGCCTGCTGCAAAGTGATTGAATCTTAGACCACAGGCTTTTTTTTTCTTTGTTATACGATGAGCAGGGTTGTAAAAATAGTTGTTTTTTTTTAAATCACCTATCCGATCACAAGATGGAGCGATAGACATCCATCCATTTTCCAAACTGCTTTATCCTCACAAGGGTCGCAGGTGTGCTGGAACCTATTCCAGCTGTAATTAATCGCTAGGCAGGTTACACCCTGAACTGGTCGCCAGCCAATCACAGGGAACACGTAGACGAACAACCATCCACACTCACACTTAGGGACAATTTGGAGTGTTTCGTTAGCCTGCCATGCAAGTTTTTGCAATGTGGGAGGAAACCGGAGTATCTGTCCATTTCTTATTGCACTTGACTTCATACAACAGATAACGTTTGGTTTAACCCTTTCAGGGACAACGGTTATGACAGTGGACAGTTTATCATGTTATCAGGTTACAAGGTGCACTAAAGGGTTAAAAGGCACAACAACAATTTGGTTTCTGTTTTGAACGCCTACACACATGAACACTCACACACACACACACACACACACACACACACACGCACGCACACACACACACACACACACACACACACACACACACACACACACACACACACACACAGTGATTAATCGATTTTGGTAAAATTAAGCCTGGTTATTGCTACAATGAGTATGTGAAGTACAATTTGCT